CTACCCTGGAACTCATGGCCAGCCTTCCCACCCTCAGCCAGGCTCCCCTACCCTGGAACTCATGGCCAGCCTTCCCACCCTCAGCCAGGCTCCCCCTACCCCAGAGCTCATGGCCAGCCTTCCCACAGAACCCTTAGTGTGCCCCTTGTAACTTCCCCTTCAAAACTGTAGCACCCTACACCTAACACACAAACCCAAGCATATTCCATGCATTTCTGCCACCATTGTCTTACACCATCACGCATACCCTAGACACACACCCTTCACTCAGGAAACCTCCCTCCCAGCTCATACCCATCCTAAGGTCAGGTAACCCCAGTTATTTCCACCACCCGCTCCCCCTCCCCACCTGTTTTCCCGTCCAGGGAGACAGCAGCGCAGAGAGCCCAGCAGCAGCCGCTCAGACTGGAGTGGGCCAAGGGCGGGCCCAGACAGCAGCCTCCCTCCCTGCCCCTCCCACAAGACTCCCAGTCTCAGGCTGGTCCCGTCTTCCTCGCCCTCTCTTCAGCCAAGGGCTGCTTAGAAGGACCTGCACAACCTTAGAGGGCCCCCAAATCAGAAGTCCCTGGCTCTCCCAGCAACCAACACCCACCCTTCAACCTAACAGACTGGGGGAATGTGAGGACGGGGAGAGGGCAGAGCTGAAGCAAGGGCAGGTCACGGCCGAGCAGGCAAGAAAGCTGAGGAAAGAAAGCAGTTACAGAAGGGCAGGGGCGCCCAAGGCACCAGGGGAAACTGCCTCCGTCTCTTGATGGCATTTATTGGGGGTTGGGGGGCACCACCCCCACACCAGAACAGACAGGGCCCTATTGTCTCCGTCCAAATTCTTCCTCCCAGGCAAAGGGAGGCTGACTGTACAGCCCCTCACCCAGCCCTGGCCTACAAAGGTCAAGGGGCGTGACACATGTCCAACCTGACCCTCAGCCCCCTCGTCTAGTCCGGGGGTGGCAGGCCAGTTCTACCCATGGGGCCGAGGCCCAAACTCCCAGAGCCTGGGGCTCAGCCCCCTAACCCTAGGCTGGGACAGGAAGGGAATTGTCTTCAGCAGGAAAGAACCCACAGAGTCAGGAACCTAAACAGAATGGGCATTGAGAGGACGGAAACACCAAGGGGCCCCCACCCCCACCAGGCATCGGGGCACCCAGGCCCCAGGCTTTCTATCCCCACCATCCCCTTCACCTGGGAATAAGCCAAGCCACACGTTATGAGGAAATGGAACTTTATTTCTATAAATACAGAGAACACCCGCTCAAGGGTAGTTAAAAGAGGGTCTGGGGCCTCAAAGAACCTAGGCTCCCAGGGGATACCCCAACACTGATCATAGGGACTGGGGGATCCCCAAACCTGAGATGGGCCTTGCAGGCCACAGATATTCCCCAACACTGACACGTCAAAAGTGGGACCGTCCCCGTAGGGGAACCGCAGAACCCCTCTTACGGGCGGGCGTCCCTCTCGGCGGGGAGGCTGGCGGCAGGGAAGTGAGGAAAAGGGAACACGGGGTAACAGAAGCTAAAAATGTCCTGAGTGGCCTGGAAGGAGACCCCTGTGGTGGGCAGGGGCTGGGCTCTCCTCCGGTACAGCCAGACCCGGAGGAGGAGGAGCAGCGTGAAGCCCGTTAGAAACCTGGTGCCCACTTCCCAACCTCAGCCCTGGGAGAAAGAGGGCGCATGGAGATGTCCCCAAATGAGGACATGAGGTAGGGGACCAGGACTTGTCATTCACAGAGGAGCAGAGGGGAGGATTCAGGGAGCCCTGGTGGGGTGGGGCAGTGTGGGGGCGATGAGGTGGTCACAGGCGTGCCAGAGCCTGGCATCTGCTTCCCAAGGCCACCACTTGGTCTCTGGGCTGGGGAATTCCTGAGGACATCTTCAGGAGAGCCACGGTTCAATGCAACTATCATAGAGCGTGCGATTGGAGTGCCAGGTGGTATGAGAGATCCCAGCCACCGGACACCTCACTATGGCCCCCCGGGCCAAGAGAGACTTCAACCCAAAGGAGTCTCGCAGATAAACCTTCAAGGTAGGTGGAAGGGCGTGGAGACACGGGGGGGGGAAAGAGACAAAGTGAGGTACTGCTGCTGTCCAAACCCCACCCCACCCCCACCACCCCCACACCCTCACTTCCCCGGCCCCATAAGGCAGACCCTGCAACTCAGGGGTCAGAGGCAGAAAGTCCAGAATGAAGCGGAACAATGGAAGGAGAAAAGTTGTCCCTGGGGGCTTACCGGCTGCTCCTCCATCTCCAAGACCGTCTCATTGGCGTCATAGAAACCAAAGAAGCTGCAGAGAGATTTGAAGGGAGGACGTCAGGAGAGCAAGGAAAACTAATGTGCACCGGTGTGTCATAGACTCAGAGCCCCGGGGAGATGGGCAGCATGGGGGACACTCGGAATCTCTGAGGAACTAGGCACGGTGACACCCTTGAGAGGTGAAAGCACAAGTATGCCGTGTTCGAGGCCAGAGGGGGCTACACGAGACCCTGTCTCAAACAACTCCTAAGAACAATTCCTGATTTGAAGAATGTAAGTGCTGGAAAGCTAGTTCAAAGGCTAAGAGCACTGGCTGCTTTCCCAGAGGACTCAGGTTCCAGCATCCATGTGGTGCTTCACAACCATCTGTAACTCCAGTTCCAGGCAATCCATACCATCTTATGGCCTTCCTGGACATCAGGCATGCACGTGGTACATCAATGCAGGCAAACCACTCATACACATACAAGAAAGTAAGTTTGGGGGCTGGAGAGGTGGCTCAGCAGACCCGAAGTGCTGGCTGCCCTCCCCGAGGGCACCTGCCACCTACACTCACACATGCACACATCCCCATGCAGACACACCAACATATGACTCAAAGTAATAAATCTTTAAAAAAGGAATTCAAGAACCAAGTGTGGTGGTGTATGTCTACAATCTCAGCACAGGCAAGAGGATCTCTGTGAGTTCAAGGCCAACCTGGTCTACAGAGTGTGTTTTAGGACAGCCAGGGCTATCTAGAGACAGTCTATCTTAAAAACCAAACAAACACAGAAAAACATGCCTAGCATAGATACTAGATTCAACACTCACTACTGCAAATAAGTCAATCAGTCCTTTTTGCAGGGTCTCACTGTGAACCCTACGTTGACCTTGATTCTCTTACCTTCTTGTGAGTGCAGAGAGGAAAGGTGTGTGGTACCATGTTTAGCTTAATTTTTATTTTATTTTTTTTATCATGTAGTGTTCTGCCTGCATGTATGCCTGAAGACCAGAAGAGGGCACCAGATCTCATTATAAATAGTTGTGAGCCACCATGTGGTTGCTGGATTTGAACTCAGGACCTCTGGAAGAGCAGCCAGTGCTCTTAAACACTGAGTCATCTCTCCAGCCTTAGTTTTTTAATTTTTACTTAATTTTTTTTTTTTGAAGTAGCATCTCATCATGTAACCTTGGCTGGCATATAACTCAAGAGATCCAGCTTCCTCTGACTCCAGGGTGCTATGATTAAAGGCGTATGCAGCCATGCCCAGCTAAAATCTAATGTTGGGTACATGCCATGCTATGGAGGTCAGAGGACACCTTTGGGGTTCACTCCTCGAATTTTTACAGGGTTTCCAGGGATTAAGCTCAAGTGGCCAGGCACTTCACAGACTCAGCCAATTTTTTTTAAATTAAAGAATATTGCCAGATGTAGTAGTGTATACATTTAATTCCAGCACCCAGGAGGCAGCAGCTGGAGGATCTCTGTGCATTCCAGGACAGCCAGGGCTATACAGTGTGAGACCCTGTCTCAAAAAAGAAAAAAAAAAATACAAGTAGACTCTCTGTCAATAACTTGACAAATGCTAACGGTTAAAATTCTAGGAGTTGGGGGCTGGAGAGATGGCCCAGAGGTTAAGAGCTCTGGCTGCTCTTCCAGAGGACCTGGGTTCAATTCCCAGCACCCGCATGGCAGCACAAAACTGTCTGAAACTATAGTTCCAGGGGACCCAACACCCTCACACAGACATGAATGCAGACAAAACACCAATGCACATAAAATTGAACTTTTTCAAAAACTTGTAAATTCTAAGATTGGGTATGTAGTTGAGTTGGTAGAGTGACTGCCTAGCATGCCTGAAGTCCTGGGTTGATTCCCAGCATAAACTTTAACTGTACAAACTTTAACATAGTAACAAATGTCTGTATCCTTGGCTATACAACAAATTTGAGGCCAGCCTGGAATACATGACACTGTCTCAAACTAAAAGCTAAAAAAATCATCACTTCTGCCCACCTACCTATCAACCTATATGCTCTTTCTTTCCTCCTGGTGCTAAGAGTTAAACCCAAGAGCTGGGTGAGGTGGCACAGGCCTTTAATCCCAGCACTCAAGAGCCAGAGGCAGGAGAATGTCTGTGAGTTCAAGGCCAGCCTTGTCAGAGCTACACTTGGAAACCCTGTCTCCAAATACAAACAGAATAATCACACCCAGAGCTTCAGCATGGTAGCCAAATACTCTGAGCTATATCCTCTCAGCTTATTATCTGTTAGCTTATTGTTTTTGAGCAGTCTTACTTGGTAGCCCAGGCTAGCCACAAACACAATAAATATCCCTCCACCTCTGCTTCCAAGGTACTAGGATGACAGTTATGCCCACCATGCTCAGCTATGGTTTGTCACGGAAAGAACCAGCTCAAAGGCCTGACGTTGGCCTACAAGGGTTCAGGGTGACCACGGCCAGCTACCTCGTTCCCCTCCTCTTGCTCTCCCCACACTGCCTTCCCCAATCCCCACGGGGCTCTGCTAGGCCCCCATGAACGCACCACAAAAACAGGTGTGCAGAGCTATGAAGCTATCGGCTTTCCCGAGGAATGAGATGGAGGGGCTGAGGTTGATGCTCTGGCGCAGAGCGGCAGGGAATGTGATAGAGTGGCCGGGACCTCGCTCTCACACTGTACTGATGTCAGTGCCCTGGCTTTGGTTTTCTAGCTTTTTGGGTTTTTGGGTTGTTTTTTTTTTTGAGTCAGGGTCTCTCTACATAGCTCTTGACTATCCTGGAACTCACTAGGAAGACCAGGCTGGCCTTAAACTCAGAGATCCACCTGCCTCTGCTTCGCAAGTTCTGGGATAAAGGCATGCCACCACCTCGCCTGGTGCTATGAGTTTGATGTTGTGGACCCTGATAAACCATCTCTGCAACCTCCTCAGAATCCATGATTAAGGGCTGGAGAGATGGCTCAGAGGTTAAGAGCACTGGCTGCTCTGCCAGAGGTCCTGAGTTCAATTCCCAGCAACCACATGGTGGCTCACGACCATTTGTAATGAGATCTGGCGCCCTCTCCTGGCCTGCAGGAGTACATGCAGACAGGAAATTGTAAACATAAGAAATAAATCTTAAAAAAAAAAATCACACACACACACAAAAAAAAAATCCATGATTACTTCAAAATTATGTGTGTATGAATGTTCATGTGTGGTTTTTGAAATAGGGTCTTATGTAGCCCAGACTGGCCTCTTATTCACTATGTAGTGCCTTGAACTTCGGATCATCCTCCTCTACGTCCTGAGTGCTGGGATGGAACCCAGGCATGACAGGCCAGCACTGTACCAGCTGAGCCACATCTCCAGCTGCCAGTATCAAAAGACTTTTTTCTTTTTTTAAGATTTATTTATTATGTGTCCAGTGTTCTTTTGGCCAGAAGAGGGCACCAGATTTCATCATGGATACTTGTGAGCTGGTGTGTGGTTGCTGGGAATTGAACTCAGGACCTCGGGAAGAACAGCCAGTGCTCTTAACCTCTGAGTCAATCTCCAGCCCCTCAAAACTTTCTATACCAGAAAGGTTTTTGTTTGTTTGTTTGTCAGTGGTGGTGGTGTTTTCCTTTTGGCACAGGTGTCTCAAAAAACAGCCCTGAATGGCCTGAAACAGAGATCCACCTGCCTCTGCCTCCCAAGCGCTGGGATTAAAGGCGTGTGCCACCACCGCCCTGCAGACTTAGACATTTCTACAAGGGTCAGATATGCAGAACACTTGCCTAGCATGTGTAAGCCCCAGGATCTGATCCCCAGCACTGCCAGAAAGAAAGAGGGAGACGCGAATGTGGTAATCATGCCTGTCACTTGGGAGGTAAAGGCAAGAGGTCAAGCCTGGGCTACACACTGCCCCCCCCCCAATCTCTAAAAGAACACCTGTTGTATATAAGGGACACTAACAGGCCAGGTCTTCAGCCTCTACAGCCCCTTGTTACCTAGATTGCCAGGGAGTGATGACTCCATCGTCAGGACCCCCAATCAGCACCAGGCGGCCCAGTCGGAGAAAGTTCTTCCGCCACACTGTAGAGATGGGGAGACAGGGTCAGCCACAGGGCTCGGGCCGGGATAGGAACAGAAGAGGGGCAGAGCTGGGGTGGGGCCTTACCAGTGGCATTGGGATGGTCTCTCTCCCCATTGATGAGGGCCAGGAAGCTGCTGGCATTGAGGTACAAGTCGTCATGGTGAGGATCTGAGTGCAAACAGCAGTTAGGGACACAGCTGGGGTGTAGCGCAGCATGCCTGGGGCCCTGGGATGTGACCCCCCACATCCTGCATAAACTGACACGGGCAGCCCACACCTCTAATACTGGAGCTCAGGATGTTACGTCAGGAGGATCAGTTCAGAGTCATCCTTGGCTACATAGAGTTCACGTGGGCTGGAGGGATGGCTCAGGGGTTGAGAGCACTGGCTGCTCTTCCGTGACTCTGGTTCAACTCCCAGCAACCACATGGTGGCTCACAACTGTCTGAACTCCAGTCCCAGGGGATCCAATGCCATCTTCTGGCCTCCACAGGCAACAGGCATGCATGTAGTGCACATATATGCAGAAAAACACCCATACACATAATATTTAAAAATTTTTTAAAAAGAAGAAAAAAACCATAATGGAAGGGAAGACTGAATGGTCAGGAGACGAAAGTAACGGTGAAGATCGGGGCTGGAGAGATAACGCAGTGGTTAAGACTTCTAGCCAGGCGGTGGTGGCTCACGCCTTTAATCCCAGCGCTCAAGGGAGGCAGAGGCAGGCAGATCTCTGTGAGTTCAAGGCCAGCCTGGTCTACAAAGTGAGAGCCAGGACAGGCACCAAAACTACACAGAGAAACCCTGTCTCGAAAAACCAAAAAAAAAAAAAAAAAAAAGACTTCTCACTGCTCTTCTGAAGGTCCTGAGTTCCATTCCCAGCACCCACATGGCAGCTCACAGCTGTCTGATGCCCTCTGCTGGTGTGCAGATGTACATGCAGACAAAGTACCCACATACATAAAATACGTCCATAAATAAATCTAATAATGAAGACAGACATCCAGCCATACAACAGAAGGATAAAAATAACGGTCAGCACAATCCAAGGCACTTTTTGAGGTTTTTTGTTATTTTGCTTGTTTTTTGAGATGGGATCTATTTAGTACTGGCTATCCTGGAACTCCTATATAATTCAGGCTGGTTTCAAACTCAGAGATCCTCCTGCCTCTATTTCCCAAGTGCTGGGATTAAATAGGTGTATCAGCACTCCTGGCCTGGGAAACACTTTTATGTGGCAACCTGTGTGAGCCAGTGATTGTGTGTGTGTGGTTTTTCAGACAGTTTCTCTGTGTAACAATCCTGGCTGTCCTGGAACTCCCTCTGTACACCAGGCTAGGCTCAAACTCACTGAGATCTGCCTGCCTCTGCCTCCCAAGTGCTGGGATTAAAGGCGTGGACCACCACCGCCTGGCGAGCCAGTGATTGTTAAAAGTTTTTTACTCTCATTAATTTAATGATTATAACCACGTCACAAGGTCCATGCTACATTATAGAAGGAGACTTGGTCCCAGAAAGCTAAGTAACGTGCTCAACATTACCCCACAAAGTCAGGCTCAACCCCTAATCTGGCCCCAGCACCCAGGCACACTACCCTACACCAGAAGTTGGCCCCTAATGGACCAAATCCAGTCTGTTACTTGTTTCTATAAATAAAGCTGTATTGGGACAGCCACTCACTCATATGGCCTGTAATCCACATTGTAGCAAATGAGCAATGGTGGAGAGAATGGACTTCTGAAAGTTGCCCTCTGACCTCCATGTATGTGCCATAAATTCATTCATGAACACATACAGAGAGAGAGAGAGAGAGAGAGAGAGAGAGAGAGAGAGAGAAAGAAATAATAATGATGATAATCCATTAATTTTTTAAAGAAAATTTTTGTGCCCGGTGGGGGGTGGGGGGTAGGGGGAGGTGGCGGCGGCGGCAGTGGCACACGCCTTTAATCTCAGCACTCAGGAGGCAGAGGCAGGCGGATCTCTGTGAGTTCAAGGCCAGCCTGGTCTACAGAGTGAGTTCCGGGGCAGGCATCAAAACTACACAGAGAAACCCTGTCTCGGAAAAAAACAAAACAAAAAACCATTTTTTTGCACCAGACTACACTCTCTGGGTGCCTTGCAGACAACATCCTGAACAGCACCTGTTTGATTTATCAAGTTACTGATAAACGGGACCTGCTGCTTTGGTTATGGTGGAGGTGGGCGCAGCCTCCCCTCCGCGGCGCCACGTCCACGAAGGCCCCGGGCGGCACCCTCCGCTTACCGTGCCAGTAGTTGCAGATGGAAAATTCTTGGCCCCAGGGACTGTAGCAGACCCGATAGAGGTTGGACCGCATGGATGTGGGGAACAGCCACTTCAGATAGTCTGTGTCTGAGGAAAGAAAGGAGCGCCGTGTGGCCCCAGCCCTCTGTGCCCGCACATGGTGGCTTCTATGAACCCACATTGCCCACTCACCTCCATACTGTCCCATCTGTGGGGAGGAGAGGGAGATGAAAGAATCCACATTGTGCTCGTCCATGACGCACAGCAAAGCTCGGCACACCAGGCCTCCTGGAGGCAGAGCAACAACATTGCAAGTGGCCTTAGGAACGGGGACCGCCGTGACCCTTGCTCTGGTCTATCAAAATACTAACTTAAAAGAATGGGATCTAAGACTAAAGTCACACCCTGTGCCCGCAAGCCACGTGTCACATGACAGAGCCAAGCTACAGAGTCTAGGCCTACGACCAACGGAGAGGCTTTTAGCTGCTCTTCAAATCCTTAGCTGTAAGAACCATGGGGAACGGGGATGGAAGGAGGCCTCCCTCCCATTCGGGACACACCGGGGGAGGACAGGTGCTGAGGGAAGCCAGAAAACGGAGGCTCAGACCAGAGCTATGCAGTTCAGAAAAGCAAACGCCGGGAAAGCCTTAGATAAGGGTCAAGCTCGCACAAGGCTTGGGAGTCGGAGTGTGTGTGTCGCCTACCCTGGGAGTAGCAGATGAGATGCACCCCTTCAGGGGCTTTTTCCATGATGGGGGCCACAGCATCTCGGAACCCTTGCACCTGTTCCCACAAGGGCCGCAAGCTCTCTCTGCCATCGAAGAGATCGAGCACTGTCACCACAGTCCCGGGGTGTGTCTGTGGGAAAGGGGCAATGCAGCCACTGGGGTTGGACTATGACGGCCACGTGCATTCACTGGGCTTGCTGAAACCAGGAACCCCCGTCCCCCAAATCTCCCCACGGTAGTAGCAGTACCCCGAGGAGCCGGCCTAGAGGGGTTGTCTTTCAGCTGCCCACGCTTCCTCCCCAACCACTACAGCTGCTCCTCCAACACCCTCGGCCCGGCGGCCCCCGACAGACCTCGTTGATATAGTCCAGCAGGTGGCGGAAGCTGTAGGAACTGTCAAAAAGCCCGTGCACCACGATCACTGGCTTGTAGGACCCGCGGTGGGGTGCGGGGGCTGCGGGCATCAGCAGTCGCAAGAACGGCAGAAGGAGCAAAGCCCACGCCGAAGGAAGCCTCTGCCTCCATAGCCCTGGCATGCTCCCACCTGAGAAGAAACGAAGGGCTGTGAGGGGAGCGACCCCCCCCCACCTCCATCGGCCCCAATAGACTCCCAGCAACCTCCGGCCTCCGCGCCTATACCAGGTCCTTGTCACAATAGCCTACTTTTAACTTACTCCCGTTTGTTCTGCACAAACACACCCCCTACCTCGGTGCACTAATGCTCACCCTAAGTCCCGCCCCCAACTTGGCGCTCAAGGGACTTAGTCCCTAGGCCCAGGATCTTCCGTAAGCATCACCTCGGCCATGCACAACTCGGGGTTCTGCAACGGCCCCCGAGCAGCAGCCCAGGCCCCACGGAGAGTGGAAACTCCCACCTGGCCTGGGTCTGGAGGCTTCGCTCCGCCAGCTGTTTACTTGTACCCAGTCTGGAATCCACGGGGTAGGAGGCCAAGGGGGACCAGGAGAGCGCGCAAGGGGGGATGACGGGTGGCAGGGGGGTGCTGCTCGGGGTCGCGCAAAGCCGTCACGTCCGGGGCTTTCCCTGACAACAGAGAGAGCGTTCCCTGCAACGCGGACAGCGGACCGGAGGGGCAATGGAACATTCCATTGCACCCAAGGAGATGGGGAGGAAACGGGCGGAGCGATCCATTCAACCGGAAGGGGAGAAGCTACAGCAAAGATAATCGGCTATCTAAAGAAGGCTTTCCCAGCCGCCCAGGGGTGCGACTTCTCCTCCCTGATGCGCCCCACTTTCCAACCCAGTCTGCCTGGCTTTGCAGCCGAGCCCGAATTTCTCGTCCCAAGGGGGGATGGGAGGGTAGGACTGACGAAAGGCTATCCCAGCGTCTAGCTGGACGCCAGGCGAGTGACAGGCCCGCGTGCCCGGCCGACCGCAGCCGGAGCGGCCCTCTTCCGGCTCCTGTCTGCCCTCCCGCTCCGGATCAGCGCCTTACAACTCTTCACTCTGAAGTGCGTGTTGTGCCCTTGTCTCCGGAGACGCCGAGAGTCCTTCAGGCCCCTCGAGTGCCGTGCAGCCTGGCCCAGTTTCTCTGGCCCTGCTTTTATCTCCGCGTTCATGACCAACCCTTCATGACCCACCTTCCATGGGCGTAGGGCCCCGGGGGCTGCAAGGACTCACCACCGGATTGCCACCAGTCTTTCCACTCTGAGTGACCCCAATAATCTGCTGCTCAGATCCCTGCAGGCTGCTGGCGACACCGACCCTGTTACTGCTGCCAGACTTCCGCGCTGCGGGCGCTGGCACCACTCGGCCTACCCGTGACCCCTGCGCACACCCCGAGTGCCCCAGGATGGCCTTTACCCGTCAGGGCTTTTACTTATCAGTTAAATAAGTTTACAGGATTTCTGAGCATGCCTGAGCCTCCCGCCCTGTACTCAGGATTTTTGCTCAGTCTAAACTCGACTCTCAATAAATAAAACAAACCCAGAGCATATATAGTGAAGACGGTGTGGGAGGGATGGGTCCGGGTTCTCTCTGATCCATCCACGCTTGAAAAACCAGAACCACCGGTATAAGGCGTGATGTAAAAATTTCTAAGACCTGGGACCGGCACAAGACGCGTCTGGGACTGCTCGGCCTGGAGGGGTTCCGTCCTAAGGCAACTGCCTCGGGCGAGGGTTGGGAAATTCTAAAAGGGGAAGGGCATTTCTGATTCTCCTGCTAGGTTTCTGCAAAAGGCCCAACTGGTGTAATCTCTACAGACTGCCTATCCTCACTCTACCTCCCCACCCACGCCCTTCCAAGACACAAAAAGCAAATAAAAGACTTTTAAGTCACCACTGCGTCTCGGGTTGACTCCGGAGGTGGATCAGCGTCTTGGGGCGGGAGGAGAGGGGGGCAGGGGGTGCTGTAGGGCATGGAGAGACTGCTGACGGCCCAAGAACTCTTCAGCCCCCACAAGCACGCTTTCTCAAATCTGCCTGTCACAGACAAGCAATTACATCCGGCTTCCCCTTGCTAAAGCATTTCGGCTCTTTAACCCTGGAGGAAGAAGGTACCTGTGCATCCCCACAGGCGCTTTCTCTCCCTTTCCTCCGCCAGCTTCAAATTACAGACCTGAGCTTCTACCTCACAGCGGGGAGGACAGGCCCACCCAGGCCGTCTACCTGGGGGACTTTTCAGGCTCTGGTGGTTCCCAGCTCTGCACCATTCTCTCTCACACCCGGGTCTGTCCCTAACTGGAGGAGCCTAGAGCGGTCTTGCAGGGAGCTCTGAGAGGGACTGAGGAAAGAACGCCTTGGACCCGCCGGGTCTGGAGATAAGTGGGGTGAACCCTTTGAACTGGCTTCCCACAATACAATCACTACAGCGAGTCTTTGAGGGAGAGACTCCAGAGAGTTCTCTCTCCCTCCCTCATTCTCTTAGTCCCACCCGCCTCGCCTGGTCTTGCCTCCCGGTTTCCATGACAACTCCAAGGGAGCCTAAACTGGGGGCTTGAATGCCAGGGTGAGAGGAGGAAAGAGGTGGTCCAAGAGCAGAGGGAACGAGTGTGTGTTTGCGGGGGGGACTTCTGAAGCCCTCCCCCTCCCTCGCCTCGGTCCCTTTAAGCTCCCCCCCCCCTTTGCCACCCTCCCTCGGCTTGCCCCCCTCCGACTCTGTCTTCATCTCTCCATCTCTGCGCTGCCGCCGCCGCCGCCGCTGCCGGCTGCGCCATCCCGGACCCAGACTCCTGCACCAGCCAGGGGGCCCTGACACCTGCTTCAGAGACCCTGTCCCAGCAATTGCAAACATGTCATCGGAAAAGTCAGGTAAAAAATAAAAATCCCAATACCCTCCCCAACACCATCCCCTCCATCATCTCCCGTCTGCCCCCCCACTTGCCCTAACCCCTTCCTTTGACCCCCTCTGGGGTGTTGTATGGTGGCTCCGCTCCATCCCCTTCTCTCCGCGGGTACCCCCACCTCCACCCCTCCTCTTTCTGTCTCATCCTTCTCTTCCTTTCCTTGGGTCAGTCTGCCTCTGTGCCTTGTCAACAACATGGGGGGGGGGCAGGTCGAGGAGGAGAGGAAGGCACAGCCAGGTACTGCAGGGACAGCATCACTGGGAGTGACAGATGGACAATCCCTGGTTCACTGGCATGGAGACACCCAGTGGAGAGAGAACGACGCCTTGATCTGATGGGGGTTGTCAGGGAAGTAAAATCTAGAAGACTTTTTTTTCCCCCTGAGACGAGATTTCCCTATGTAGCCCAGGCTGGCCTTGAACTCCCCAGTTCCTCATCCTCCTGCCTCTGCTTCACAAGTACTGGGATTCCAGGCATGAACCACCATGACTAGTCCCGGAAGACTTTTTTTTTTTTTTTTTTTAATGGCCCTCGGAACAGAGGCCATGAGATTCCCAGGTAACCCCTGGCCTGTTTCCCCACTGAAGGAAAGTGGAAGTGTCATCCACATAAAAACCGGGCACGCAGGAAGAGGAGCAGAGCAGAGGGACAGCCCTGAGACAGCCCTGGATGAGGTCGTGTGGGTGACGACCGTGGTTGACAGCGGAGGAGCTGGGCAAGAATTGTGATGGAGGGCAGGCGGCCTAGATACCACTCCTCCCTGACCCCAAACGGGAGCTGTCATCTCCCGGGTCGGTCTCTCCCTTGATACTTCTCCATCTCTGACTGTCTGGTGTTTCTTACCTTCTGATCTCGGGCTGTTTTTTCTCTCTCTCCTTATCCTCTCCTCTGCTTTCCGTGGCCAGGCCTTCCAGACTCAGTTCCCCACACTTCACCGCCGCCCTACAATGCCCCCCAGCCTCCGGCCGAGCCCCCCATCCCGCCGCCACAAACGGCCCCTTCCTCGCACCACCACCACCACCACCACTACCACCAGTCTGGCACTGCCACCCTCCCGCGCTTAGGGGCAGGTGGCCTGGCCTCTGCCGCGGCCGGCGCTCAGCGTGGCCCTTCGTCCTCCGCCACGCTGCCGCGGCCCCCTCACCATGCCCCGCCCGGTCCCGGCGCTGGGGCTCCCCCACCCGGCTGTGCTACCTTACCCCGCATGCCACCCGACCCTTATCTGCAGGAGACGCGCTTCGAGGGCCCACTTCCCCCACCACCGCCGGCGGCTGCCGCCCCGCCCCCGCCAGCGCCAGCCCCGACGGCCCAGGCCCCGGGCTTTGTGGTGCCCACGCACGCGGGGGCGGTGGGCACGCTGCCGCTGGGGGGCTACGTGGCGCCCGGCTACCCGCTGCAGCTGCAGCCCTGCACTGCCTATGTCCCGGTGTACCCGGTGGGCACGGTGAGTGTGGGGCCGACGGGACCCAGGAGGAGAGGGCGGGAGGCAGGTGCAACAGGCACACGCGGGGAGCTGGGAGAGAGGAGAGAGCGGAATAGAACCGGACCCAACGGTGTTCTGGAACAAACCCGAGACAGAAGAGTGGAGAGGGAAGGGATTGTGGGGGGGGAGGTGGGGGGGTTGGTGGGGGGGCATCAGAGGTCAAGGCGTGGGAGGTGGTTCAAAAGTCAAGACCTGAAAGAAGGAGACCGCTTGCGGGGAGAGGACGAAAGGGAACCTGGGAAGCCAGGGGTAGAAAGAGCAAAGCCTAGCCCTGGGGATGCTGAGGAGGATGGACACAAGACCCGAAGTGCAGAACAGGCCTTGCAAGAGTGTGGAAACTTCCACCGAGGCCTAGGCCGATTTTACTACCAGGAAGGATGGGTGTTCTTCCCCCCCCCCCTTTAAACCTTAGGATCGTGTTTTTAGAAACCCCTCTGCCAGATGCCCGGCCGCTGGCAAGCAGCGAGTGTAGTCGTGACGGCCCTTTCCCCCCACTGTCCCTCCCACAGCCCTACGCAGGCGGGACCCCCGGGGGCCCGGGAGTGACCTCCACGCTGCCCCCGCCGCCCCAGGGCCCAGGGCTGGCTCTGTTAGAGCCCAGGCGCCCGCCGCACGACTACATGCCCATCGCCGTGCTGACCACCATCTGCTGCTTCTGGCCTACAGGCATCATCGCCATCTTCAAGGCCGTGCAGGTGTGTGGGGCGGGGGCGGACAGGAAAAGCCTAGGCAGACCCGGGATTCCTTAGCCCGGGCCATTCTGGGGCATATTCTTAGAGGGAGGCTGCGACGGGTGAGCCGTGGCTCTCTGACCCTCTTCCCGCACCCCTCCCCGGTAGGTGCGCACGGCCTTGGCCCGCGGAGACATGGTGTCCGCCGAGATCGCTTCACGCGAGGCCCGGAACTTCTCATTCATCTCCCTGGCCGTGGGCATCGCAGCCATGGTGCTCTGTACCATCCTCACGGTCGTCATCATCATCGCCGCCCAGCACCACGAAAACTACTGGGACCCCTAAACACGTCCCCGTCTCGGCCCCACTCTGCGCCCCCCAACCTCCCAGGCGCGTCGTGCCGTCCTGCCGCCTACCCAACGCGCGCCCTGCACATCCTCCTGTGGCCGCCGGACTTCCAGACATCATAAACTCCGCCCCCTCGGGATCTCGGGCCCAGCGAGTGCGCTCCGAATCCAGTTCCTCAGGAACCTCTCCAAAACCCACATCCCCAGCGGCCCTGGAATCCAGGCCAAACACCGAGCCCCGAGTCGCCCCAGTTCCCCACCCCATCAAAGTGCAATGCCGGGGGCGGGGCTCTCCTGGTCTCCGATCCCCCATAGGGAGTCAGGTCCCCGAAGCTCCGCCTCCTCTATAGGCCCCGCCTCCAATCCTCACAAACCCCGCCTCCAGGTCGGCAGGCTCCGCCTTCTTTTCTTCCTTGCGGGGTGATTTAGTCTTGTTGATTTGAGTTTTTGAATTCAGGCCCAGCCTACAGACGGACGGACGGACGGACGCTTCCCCCTACCCCTCTAAGAAAGGACTCAGCCCTGGGAGAACTGCAGCCCCACTCTGGTTCGGATTTTTGCCAATGCGGATGTCTGTTTCTACCTATTTTCCTGCTAATTCCAGAACTCCTGTTTTGTTGGTTTTGGAGTGAGATGTGGGAAGTTTCTGGTTTAGTACCCTCACCCTGGAAAAGGAACCAAGTCCCTGCAATGTAAATACTCTTTCTACCTGTGCCAACCCCTGGGCAGCGGGGCAGAAGGATTCAGGAAGGGAGGCTGCGCACCCCGCTCCCTCAACCCTAGACTTGTTTTGATCTGTGTGTGCGTGTGTGTGAACTTCCGAAAGACGGTATTAAAGACACTTTAGTGGATTTATCACCCGCAGTTCCAGAGTTCGGAGAACACCCTGGCGTTCTGTTCCCTTTTCACTTTTCATCTTGTTATTTTTTTTTTCTCCTCCGCGGGGGAGGGGAGCGGGGCTGGCCGGCAAATACAAAAGCGGAAGGAGATAGTTTCCTATGATAGCAGAGAAAAGAGGGTCCCCCAGCCAGGCTTGCTGTAGGTTATAGCCAGAAGTTCAAAGCTACACTCTGCTTTATATAGAAAGTTAGAGGTCATTCTGTGCTGTGTTAAACCTTATCTCAAAAGAGAGAAGAGACCAAACCGGAGAAGACCTGGAGGGTCGTTCTCAATCCTGCTTTCCCGCTCCCCTCTGGAATGGGGACCGGAGACTTCCGGAAGGAAGAAGGTGGTAGACCAGTTAGGCTGATCAAGGCTGGGATGACAGGAACAAGGGGAGAACACCACAGGCCCACAGTGTCCCCGGCCTGGGGCTGGACAGCACACAGCAGAGTCCCGTGTGAAGGCAAGGAGCAGAGAGCTGTAGGGACCCTGGGGAGAGCGCTAACAGAGCCTCTACACTTGGGCCAATTGCCCTAGCTCACCCTAAGCCTGAAGCTAGCAGGGCCTCTGTGAGAGGGGATGGGGACAAGCAGGGCCGGTGTCTGGTTTCACTGCACACGTGGAGAACAGGGTGTCACCCAGCTTTGTTCATTCATAAGGCACGGCCAGGACACACAGGGTGGCTGGTG